CCTGAGGGGGGAGGGGGTCTGCAACAGCAGCACCTGGCGCGAGGAAGAGAGGCGGGGGGGGGAGCGGGGCAGTGCGGTAGGGGAAGAGGCGGTAGTAGGGGACGGACTCGTCAAAAGTGACGTCCTGAGAGGGCAAGACACGGCGCGAGGTGGCGTGGTAAAACTGCCAACGAGACGCGTCCGGGACGAAGCCGAGGAAGACGCAGGGAACAGCACGAGAGGAGAGCTTGTCCGCAGACGTATCGCGGACAAAAGCTCGAGATCCCCAGACCCGGAAACGCGACGCATCGCCAACCTCCCCCGTCCACAGCAGCGTGGGCGAGGTCTCCGGCAAGGAGACACGGGGCCAGAGGTTGAGCTGATGCGCAGCGTACCGTACCGCAAACGGCCACAGAAAGTGGGGGGCAGCCGCATGGATCAAGGAGGTACGGGCGACCTCCATGACCAGGCCAATGCGGCGCTCTGCAACCCCATTCTGCTGTGGAGAGGCCGGAAGCGTGAATGACTGCTCAATGCCGTGCTCAGCACAGTAGGCTGCCAAGAGGTCAGAGGAGAACTCACCACCTCTGTCAGAGTGCAAGCGCAAGACAGGAAAGTCCGAGTGAAAACGCTCACTGAGCTGGAGACGGGCTCTGCGGATCCAAGGGATCAAGACATCAGGGACCTCACCCTTGGTGCGCAAGGGGAAGACCGTGGTGTAGCGCGAGTAGTCGTCAACAACTATCACGAAGTACCTCTCCTGACCCTGACCACGGACGCGGGCTGGGCCCCACACGTCCATGTGGAGCGTCTGCAAGGGAGCAGTCATCGGGGGAAACGAGGAGTGAGGAGCGGCGCGCTGCCGTCCCTCGACACAGGGGAGATAGGTAGGAGCAGGGGAGGGCGGGAGGGGAGGAAGGACCCTGGGCAGGCCAGAGACAAGGTACCGGGAGTGCATGGCACGAAGCCGTTGCACAGACGGGTGGCCAAGGCGGTGGTGCTAGAGGACAGTCTCGTGTGCCAGAGAGCGACACGAGCAGGGGGGCGTCAGCTGACCTGACGCGGACGCAGACGCAGACGCAGACGCACCTACCTGAGGGGACTCAGTAGTCAGTGTGTACAGGTCCGACCCCGGCTGCCGAGTGAAGGTAGCCAAGTGACGGCCCGTACGAGCACACGTACAGTGTGTCACTCGCTCGTAGGCAGGGGTGAACTGGTGAACACCCCCGTCGTGGAGTGCACATCCTGCCACCAAGTTCGTAGAGAACGAGGGGAGGTGGAGACCTGACAGTGTGCCCGACGGGACCGCAGGACAGGGAAGGACAGTGGAAGAGGTCGCAATGACCGGACCCCCAAAGAGGTCAGCAAGGGAGACAGCAACTGGCCGAGCAAGCGGCTCAAGGGCAGTGCGGTCACGAAAGAAGCAGCGAGAAGCACCTGAGTCCAGTGTGAAGGTGTGCAGTGCTGCAGTCGACTCAGTACCAAGGGGGGCAGACACAGAAGCACCTAGAGCAGCTGCCTCACCAGCACCTGGGGTAGCCGACACGCTAGGACCTGGAGCGGCAGACGCACTGGCCCTAATGCCCGGGTCGGGCGGCACACACAAGTACTCAGCACCCTCTCCACTAGTAGACATCACATACATAGCAGATAGAATAGCATCAAAGTCTAGAGCATAGATATCAATCCCCTTCTTCAGGAGATCAATCCACCGGGGCAGCTCAGTGGCCTGAGGGAACTGAACACGCCAAGCGTCGTCGAGACGAGCGAAGCAACGCTGTGTGGCGTGCGGTCGTCCACACTGCTGACCAGTGCGGTCACCAGTGCGAATGACGTACGTGCAGCTAAGACCACCCCCACCCCCGTGCTGAGAGTACCACTCACGGACCTCCTGGGGCGAAGGAGTGTGCTGCTGGCCCTGGCCACCGCCAGCGCCTCCACGGCCACCACCACCGCTGCCACCTCCTCGACCACCCCAACCCCTGCCGCCGCCTCGTCCACCGCCACCCCAACTACCGCCTCCGCCCCTGCCACCTCCCCCGCCGCTGCCGCCACCACCCCCACCGCTACCACTCGCCCCTCCAGCCGAGCCACCACCCCCACCGCCTCCACCGCCCCCACCGCCGCCTCCCCCGCCGTCACCTCCACCAACCTTGCCCCCTTTGCCCTTGCCGCTGCGGCGCCTGCTAGAGGCAGACGCAGTGCCGACCTTCTCAGCACCAAGAAGGTCGACAGCAGCAGCAGAGGCGACAGAGGGAAGAAGGGGGGAAGGAGAACACCCCTCAAAGAACGGGGTACGAGGGTCGCCACGAGAGGCACCTACAGCGACTATGCTAGTCTCGGCTGCAAGTAGTTCCTTCTCAAGGAGGGCAATGGTGAGCTCGGTGGGGCAGCGAGCTAGGAAGTGGTCCCTGACAGCACGAAGTGTGTCAGGGAGGCGGGTGACTAGGTGGTAGAGAGTGAGCAAGAGTGGAGGGGGGTGCGTGGCAAGGAACTCAGTAGGCATGGCGGCACGGAAGCGGGCCTCACTAGTACGGAGGTGTGTGATGAGGTCAGCGACTGTGTGAAAAGAGGCCAGGTCGGGAAACAGGTAGGGGAGGGAGAGACGGCCTAGTGCGGCAGAGGCAGGTGAGGAGTAGCGAGCAACTACAGCTGTGTAAAGTGCCTATGCAGTCTTGTGCTGGCCAAAGTGTTCGCGTTCGTCTATCGGCAGGGAGTTGCGAATTGCGAAGTGAGCGTGGGCATCACGAGTCTGCCACTGTGAGCGAGCAGTGCTGTCAGCAGTAGCAGCAGGGGCAGTGACATGGCCGAGGGCGTGATCGTACAGTGAGATGTCATCCTTGGCTGTGAGCTGTAGGTAGAGGTGCAGGTCATCGAGCCAGGTGTCAAACTTCACAGGGCGGCCCTCTGCATTGAACAGGAGAACCTGTGGGCTAGCCATAGGAACAGCAAAAATAGCAGTAGTAGCAGTAGGAGAAGCAGTTAGGACGGATCAGTTAGGGCAGGGCGGCGCGGCTCGGCTCGGAGCGCGCGGCTCGGGTCGCGCGGCTCGGTTCGGTCGCGGGCTGCGGCGGGAACGGGTCGCTCGGGGCCTCTAGGGACGGTGGGCACGGGGCCGGTTGGGGCCTCTAGAGACGGCGGGCGCGGGGTCGGCAGGGCTGTTTGGGGCCCTAGAGAGGCGAGCGCGGGGCCGATCGGGGCCTGAACGGGGCTAGCGCGGGGCCGACGGGGCCTGATCGGGGCTAGTGCGGGGCCGACGGGGCCTGAACGGGGCCGACGGGGCCTCTAGGGACAGCTGGCGTGGGGCCGACGGGGCCAGAACGGGGCTAGCGCGGGGCCGACGGGGCTTGAACGGGGCTAGCACGGGGCCGACGGGGCTTGAACGGGGCTAGTGCGAGGCCGACGGGGCCTGAACGGGGCTAGCGCAGGGCCGACGGGGCCTTTAGGGGCCGCTAGGTAGGTACGCGCGGGGCCGTCAAGGGGGGGCCTCTAGGGGCGTGACAAAGCCGAGGCGCCCTAGGGCGCAAGTAGGTAGGTAGGTAGGTAGGTAGTGGTGGGCCCTTAAAGATTTCGGTCCTAGGAAGGACCTGCTCTATACCATGTTGGAATAACTGAACAGGAATGAATGAACTAACAGTGAAATGAGTACAAGTACCTAACCATAGAATTGTGTACCCCCTATAGGCTAACCCACTGTAGCCTAAACAACCACAACATATATATAATGTTTGACAACATCATCGCTAAACGCAACGCCGACTGCCACCGCAGACCTGTTACTTACCAGCCCAACGACTTAGTTTTACTCGACACCCAAAATCTCCGACTGCCCATCATCCCGAAACTCCGCCCCCGATACTGCGGGCCATTTCGCATAAGCCACATAATAGCGCCCGTCACCGCCCACCTCCTCCTCCCTGCTGACTGGTACATCAGCCCCTCGTTCCACGTCAGCCTGCTTCGCCCCTACGTCCCGTCCACAAGTCAACTCCCACGCAATCGCCCAGCCAGCATGACACGACCGCCGACTGAACCAATCATCACCCCCGAAAAAATCCTGAGCCACAGAGATCGTGACCCTCGAGGAGCCCCGAAGGATCGAGTTCCTACTCCACTGGAAAGACCGTACACCCACCGAAGACAATTGGGTTCCCCTGGACAGAATCGAAAACCACCCCGTCCTCACCGAGTATCTGCGCAGCCGAAACTTCAGGGATGTACACGCACTTTCGTAAGGAGGACCTCCTTAGGAGGGGGGGGTAGTGTAAGGAAAATTCTTTTTCCTTTTTTCGCATCCCTGCTCAACGCGTACATCACTGTAGCACCACTGCCAGCACCGTTACCACTCGCAATCCTCGCATCGACAATCCGCCCGCCACTTTCGCACGTCGCAGCCCGACTTCACGGCTAGGTGGGTAACCCACGCTCCTGGCCTCCGCTTCGACACTTTTCCCTACCTCAGTCCCAGGCCCGTCGCGCGACAAGCATTGTCCATTATCGCTACCACTGTAGATTCGCTATATATTCTTCGCTCATGGCTTCGCTCATTGTACTCTTGCTTCGATAGTGCAATTCTCATTCGTTCACTCAATTGCACTCGAAACACTGTTACAGACACCACCCTTCTCCAAGATGGCTTGATTACATCTGCTACTCTTCCCTAGATGGTACGGAAGTATACGTCTTGAGGCGGCTCACAAATCACGAACAAATTACTCGTCCATTAAAACAATTCCAATATACGGTAATCAAACTCAGCATAACAGTAATAAATGAATTCTCCTCAAGAAAGCAGCCTGCACCCTTGCCAGAGGAATGCTCTGGTCCTTATTTCACGCTAGGTGACGAAAAGGCCCACGGGCCTACACCACCTAGGTGCAGAGGAGCACAGCTCGAGGAATCATTCCCCCACCCACAACCACACTCATCCCACCGAAAAATGGAGATAACTTTGGAAAAAAACAACCAGCAGCCCAGCAGCTTGCATGGAATGTGCAAGTGCCGCACCCCCGGACTCAGACTCATAGCGAGAAGAACCTGCGGAGGCCGTTGGGGCGGACCATGCCGGGGTTGGTGGAGAAGAAGAGGGTGTTGGCGACCTTCTGGTTGACGGCCTGCGTGGGGTTGCGCGCATCCCACCACACAGCCTTGCTCGGCGCCGCACACGGACCCGCCGTGACCGCTGCCTTGCCGTTGCCGCTGGTCTGAGCACACGCCACCACCACCCCCGTGCTTGTCACCGCCTCGCAACACGGGTGCGTCTGATTCGTCAGGCCTGGTGGCAGGAAGAAGAGCGGAGGGTAACAATGGTGAGAGGGTGTTGAGGCGTGCACTAGAGGAGGGAGGGGGAAGAATGAAACTGAAGCGATTCAAGGTGAGGATTGGGGGAAGGGGAAAGGAGAGGGAGAGCGGAGGGGGTTAACTTGAGGGAACAACCGAGAGAGAGGAGGGGGAAGTAAAGGGGGTTGTACCAGAGGTGGGGACTTGGATCATGGTCTTGAAGACGGCAGATTGCTTGAAGAGCACCAGGTTCGGCATGGGCAGGGCGGGGTTGTTCCTCAGCTTGTCCGTCTTCGTCAGCAGCGCGAAATTGTGGATAGTGGTAATCTGGTTACCAGCTTCGGTGCAGTTGATTCCACTGCCTGCCGCACGGCGCACAGCAGGAATGCAGCCGAGATTCGGCAGATCGATAACAACAATGTTGGAAGAGCCGGTGAGGTTGTAGAGAGACTGGATGACGTTGATGACGGTGTTGGAAACTGAGGAGGCTATGGCGACGAGATTCGTCATGTTGGGCTGCGCGCTGCTGAGCTCGGCGAGATAGTCGTTGGCTCCGATGCTCACCACAAACAGGGCCTCGTTCAGCTTCTGTGAAGCAAGAAAGGAGAGAAAATCAACGAGAGGGGAAGATGTGAAAAAAAGATGAAAAGATTCAATAGAAAGATGGGAAAGAGCGGAAGATGGAAACGAGGGAGAAAGCAAGGAGGGCGTACGAAATGGGGACGGAAAAAGGGCGGGAGAAAGGCGTGGGTTGAGAGTAAGGTGTCAATTGGAATGCGTACGAGGTCGGGGTTGTTGGTGCGCTTGGCCTCGTTGAACCACTTCTTGAACTCGTTCAACTGCAGCTGCAGCCCGCGCGTCTGCCGCCATCCGAAAGGGAAGCCACGAGAAGGCGGAGGAAAGATGATGATGTGAGAAAGAAAAACGGCCAGGAGAAGGCGGACGATGTCGATAGGAGGTGGCTGAACCTACTAGGAATACATGTTTAGTGCAAGGGGTAAAAAAGAAAAGAAATGAAAAAACCAAGCCGGACTCTTCCCAAGAGAGGAGCTGGCGACATCGCGAAATTGGGAAGTGCGGAAAGTAACCCTGAATACACTCTTGCACAACTTACCCGATAGTACACCCCCGGCACTTTTGAGTCAAGGTTTTAGAACTGCGTGGCGACAGTCACTGGCGTAGTAACTTCCGAGTCACTTTCCCGCGCCTTTCTGCACAAACTCAGTCAACCGTTTAGCAACGCCACCCGCATCTGCGCACATGCTAAACAGTCACGGGCTGCTCCACCCAAATGTTCACCTGCCCATACCGTGTCAACCAACTCGAAAGCGACGAGCACGTAACCCCAACTGCCAATCCGTACGGGCTTCCCCACGTGGCATACTGTTTCAACTCCCACGTCCACGTAAGCGTACATGCAGCAAAACGTACAGCAACCACAACCGTTGGATGGACACCCTGGTCACGCAATCACTACGGTACACGTGTCGCCTGTACATAAACTCGCATAGCACGTTACGCATTCGCGCACACAAACTCGCACATCCTTGCAAGCTCACCGCGCTCCGATCTGCACCGTACATCTGGTGGTCAAGCATCCTTCCCACACCGTACATTTGGATGCATCCCATAGGACAGCAAACCGCATATCACGCCAACGGTAGCCACTACCCCTCATCCACGCGGCCTCACTCCACTTGCGCATCGTGCGTCCGCACCAGACGCGCCAATGCATAAACACCGTACACCTGAACCAATGCCACCGTTTCGTGCACTTCGCGAAAAGTCTCGCCTACCATTAGGGTTGCGCTCGCAACTAGATGACGACGACACCTGCGTCGTCCATCTGTATACATCGTAAACACCACCGACCTTCCACGTCACGCACAATTAATCCATCTTACCCGTACACTTGCAACCCGATCATGCAATCGCACAAACGGTAACCGGTTGCCCTACCCATCGTGGCTCACGTTTGCGACGTATGCGCGAACCACTCACAACCGTGCATTTGTCGCACCCGTATAGCATATCACAGCGCACATCCCACCGTCGGCCTCATCTTCACGCTCGTCCACGATTGTGACACGGGTGTACAAGCGCGTGCCACCCTCCCATACCATTGGCTCCACGTCATCCCTTAGCCTTGTTGCGGTCCAACCACATGTCCACTTACGCGCACCGCTGCGTCCTTTACGTCCAACGTACAGGTGACACATGGCACACACCGTAAAATTCGCCGCAGAATGCGGCGCATCCCTCTCCGTCCCGCACATCTGGGCGACGGCGGGTTCGCTGTGGCATGCACCATATAGTTTCTGTTATGTGCTGTCATATGCGAGCAATACCCCAATTGAAGCTTTTCCCATTAACAACAAACGCACACACAAACATACAACGCCTCCACGCCTATGTCTAACCCCCCCACATCTTCAACACTGACACATGCTTAACCCAGGTGCGCGTTCCACAGCTACACATAACCCTGTCACACAGCCGCAAATCATCGTACACACGCAGCCAATCTACTGTCCCCGCAACGGTAAAACCCACGCTTCCCCCATCCCCTCCACGCCAGCCGTCCTACTCATCCCCCACGGATGCCGAAAGGTCGTCGTCCCCCACTGGCTCCTCCGGCTGGGCTGCGCCGGCGGGCCTCATGTGCTCCAGGCCGCACGCAGAGATGCGCAGACCATGGCGCCCCCAGATCCACGCCTCCCGCTCCGCGTCATACTCCGGGTTGCGGATCCTGATCGCCCTCTCCACGGCCTCCTTAACCAGGACCTTGAGGCCGTCCACAACGTGGGCGTTTCCGCCGGCCGAGTTGGAAAGCCAGCCTTTCCTCTGCTCCCAGTAGAGGACGCAGTCGGAGACCTGCGCCATCACGCATCGTGTCACTCAAATGGTCCGACGTAAACAACACAGATGCATGGCACACATAGAGCGCACAGACTCACCACATGCTCCAACCAGGCCAGGTGGTACACCTTCAGCGTCATCACCAGGCCGGCCTTCTTGGGCCTGAATGCAGCCTTCGCACATGTCGCGAACGCCCGAGAGGCGAACGGCATGCCATCCCGGTCTGTCGCCCATGTCGTGAGCACCAGTGTTTCTGCATTCCCACGTGCATGCAGGTCAGTGTCAACGGCCGTCACGCACGAGGGTGACAGCATAACGATGCGGTGGCAAGCCTGGTTGCTGGGGTAGACCGCACTCACCAGGGGGGTCAGCGCCGAACCCAATGCGCTCCCGGATCTTCTCAATACTGCGTTCCTTCTCCGGTGCCCATGGGCTGGATGCGTCCCGATCGTCGCGGAACAAGCCGAGCTTGGGAAGTGCAATGTCGCGCACGCGGGCGGCAGCCCGCGTCTTCCACTCAGAGAGTGTCTTGTTGAGATCAGCGCGACGCGACTTGTCAGCCGCCAACGCCAAACAGGCGAAGCTATGCGGCAGGCGGTCCAGCACCGCACACACCCCGTGTGTCTTGTCGTCGCTGCTCGGGTAGAAGGTCATCATCGACGTCGGCCTGTTGAGAAACATGTGCACCCTGGCCAGCTCGCACACCCGCTGCGCACATAAGGTATACACAACAACATGAGTGGCGCACACCGGTATGCATGACGGTTGAATAATGGAACCGGACGGGAACGGGCCCGCTCACCTTCCACGCCTTGTCCGCAGGCAAATGCTCCAAGGCGCGCTGCAGAATAGGAGACTTGGCCGTGCGCATATGACGGCCACCAGATCCATGTGTGTCGTCATCGTCGTCCTCGCCGTCATCGTCTGACCCGCCACTCCACGTCTCGCCACGCTTACGCTTCGGGTTCATACAACCCTGCCCCGGGTCTCTCTGCCTGGTCGCCTTACGCTTATGAGAGCCACTGGACGGCCGAGACATCGCATTCAAGAACAGCGCCTCCAACCGCGCGTTCTCCTTGGCGCTCTTGTCCTGAGCCTGAATGAGTTGCTCGAGGATACGGCTCGGTATGCGCACGTCATCGCTGTTGGCGTCCACTGTGTCCCAGCGTGTGGGTCCCACCAGTCCGTCCACGTCGTGATTAGCGCGAGTGTCAGCGTTGGCCGCGGATGGTCCCGCACGCCCATCGTCGTCCGTCTTCCCCCCCTTAGCGGGCTCGGCTGATTCTTCGCCTGATCCTGATGCCGACGTGTCTCCGCCTTCCTCGTCCTCATCCTCGCTGCGCTCGGACGAATCTGCACTCTCCGCCCCAGTGCCGTCATCTGTGGGTGACAGAATGACAACAGGCGCACAGAACCGCAAGTTAGCATACGCGCGCAACAACCGCCGCGAACGTCGTGACTGATCCACTCATGATCGTAATGCATACCTTCCTCTGGCTGCACCACCTCCTTCCCCTTCTTGCGGAAGCTCAGGCTCTTGGGTAAGGGCGCCCCACGGTTCCCGTTGGACAGTCGACCTCGCGGCATCGTCAACTGGTATGACGCTCGCAGGTACGCAGGCGGGAGCGAGACACGACGGGAGCGTCCCCCAGCTCGGGTATCCTCAGAAGCAATTGAGGTATCCATTGAAGCAACTGAAGTATCCAGTGAGATGCGCACATAATGACGCGATAACCACTTTTCTACGTAGCGGTGAGATGCTCAGCTTCCATGACACTCCGCTGCACCGAATACATGAGGAGGTTGGTACCCAATACTGCCTCGTACACATCTGGATGACCGCAATCCAAAACCCCCAATTACAGAACACCACGTCACTCGCACATTGACGGGTGTCCACCCCCGAACCATAAACTGCGCACATCATGTGGTCACAACATTGTCCACATACCTTCATTGTGTGGACACTCGTCACGGAACTGGTTCCGGTATTCGTTGAGGCCCTTACTCACTTAAACATGTAGTACACCAAGTTCACGATTGCATTACCAGCTAACGGTGTTTATCGTTCATACTTTGCACGCACAAGACTCTTCATTCCAAATGCAACATTATCCGAAAGCTACACAAGGGTGAGCAACTACGTGCACGGACATGTTTCAACCACACATTGACTCCACACCAATTCTGCAGCCATCTCTGATGTCTTCTCCTCAGCTCCAGTGTCTTCCCTCCGCTCTTCCTGGTCATTGTCCCTTGCACCTCCGCCTTGCTCGTTTGTCACTGGGGCCGTCCCCCCACTCTCAGCATTGTCGGTTGCCGCTGGGTCGTTGGTAGCTGTGTGGTCGTGGTCCACAACCCTGCGCCTCTTTGATGCACCTGTTGCACCCCCACGCTTCCTCACTCGTTTCAACCGCTGGCCCACGCTCTCCAGCGCCTCACGCCAACTCCTCCACCTCCACCACTTCCTCGCTTCCACCAGGGTCTGTAAATCTTCTTTGGTGCACCCCCGCAGCGTTGCCTTCTCTGCGGCCGACAGGCTGACGGTGTTGGGTATCCTCTCGCTAGGCCTCAGCACGAACGCACCGGCGGCGTATGCAAATGCCGCCTCCTCCTCAGTGGTGTACCCTCCCAGTCTCTGCTGCTTGCGCTTCCCACGTTCTTTAAACAGAATCTTGACGCCGTACTTGCCGGTGTTCGGATCCAGCTTCACACCCGTGTACCTGGTTGCACATGTATCTTCGCCACCGTCCTCGTCATCTGAGTCTGACACGAGATCCTCCTCTTCGTCGGCCTTCGCCGTCTCCTGCCCAAGCCTGTCTCCCCACACGTCAGGTCCAGCTGGCACACCCGTGCCGGACAGCAGCCGCGGGCGCGTCAACATCCAGGGAGGTATGGCCCCGTTCGAGATCAGCGGGTTCTGCAGCAGGCTCGGTGTCGGCGCACATGCGGCGAACGTGGAGGCCAGCGCCACCTGGGTGAGGTTGCGCACGCCGTCCTCCTCAGGACTGCTGTCATCTCGCCTCTTCCGGGCAGACGGACGCTGGGGTGTGCGTGGCACATGCTTGTTGCCACCCGCCTCTGTTTTCGTGCCGTTCCCCGCGACCCCTCCATGCAGCAGCAGTTGGGTTGCAGCGGACACCACCTCGTCCCGGCTCAGGCCCACGAAGTTGGCGATCACGGTGAAGCTGGCGTCCAGGTGCCTCACATCGTTATGCAGCGATGCTATGCGCCTCGTCATCTCCGTAAACCGAGCGTCCTCATCATGGCGAGTGTTTGGCGCCTGCCTCCCATCTCCCTCCGCAGTGTTTCTCACCTGCACCACTGTCCCCTCTGCGGTAACCAGTCCTTCGTCTTGCGGCGGGACTTCAATCCCCAGTTCCTGTAGTTGTTTCAGAAGCTCTCCGCCAGCGTGTGCACACAAGTCTCGGCGCATCTCCCGCCTGTATTGGTGCGGTGTCACACCCTGGAACCAGAGGCCCGAAAACACCGTGGCGAAGTCGGTATGCACCAGGGTCTTGAGGTAATGACAAACAAAAATCCCACAGTCCTCCTTGTTCGGCTGCTGTGGCAGCTTATCCTCCTGTCATAAGGGTAACGAATACCGAAGTTATCAGTATGCACACCTGTGTATGCAACCAGCACAGCTGTGTACAGAACGAACGAGGCGTACTCACCCGTAGAATTACGCAGTCCGCCGCGCTCAGCGTCCTGTCCACAACCTCCATGTTAGCGTTTGGGTTACTCGCCTTTGCGAGTTCGGACAGCAACCTGCATACAAGAGTTCGTCCGGTATTAACAAAATTGAGCATGGACGTATATGCTATGCGCTTCGTTATGCCGAAACCCCTACTCACAGCTTCGTGCCTGCGAAAATCTTGTGGCTATTTCGATTCTTGATCGCGCTGTCCAGCAAGACCAAAGTCAGGCGCTCCTTGCCCTTGGTTCTCTGCGTCTTGGTGAGCACCGATGGGTTTATAGCGATGACGAGGGAATAGTGCTCACTGCGCGCAAGAAGATTGGGGTGAAACGGGATCGGTGTTAAACAGCAGTCGGTTGCACATCACGGAAACCAACCGGGAACACTGGTAAGATGAGTACACTCACGACTCTAGGACCGGGATCGCAAGATAATCGTGTTCCAAAAGCGGCCGCCCACTCCCCAGCGTTAACGGCACTCCATGCGCAGCTGTCGTCTGTGAATAGGCCTTGCAGTCCATGGCGGCCCATGTCTTGCCGTCGCGGAGCGACGGCTTCCTGATGCTAAGCAGCCTGCGCAGAGGTGAACACGAACAAGTTAACACACCGTGCTACAGTGAGATGCGCAGAAAATCGTACAAAAGCGCGCGCATGTGCGGGGCGGTCAGCACGGTACTTACACGTTGTGAAAGTCCACCACGCCATCGGTGATCCACTGTTCGTCCTCGATCGACATGAAGTCGTCCTTGTCCACCTCACATCCGACACCGCGGTGATTCATGAGCCTGATGTTGCAGTAAGATGATTTCGCATAGTTCCGGGCGATAGCGGCCACCACATCGTCCGGCACCGGCTCTGTCGCCTTTTCCACGACATGGGTCGCGAACCTAGAAGCCCTTCCGCCGTCCTTTGTCGGCGGACACGGAGGTGATTTTTTGTCGCCCTTGGTCGACGCTCTGGTTCTGGGAACAGACGGGTCAGGATCTTGGTCATCGCCGCTGCTGCTAGTCTCCGGTTCATGGAACCGGTTGCGCTTAGAGACAGACTGTTTAGGAATCGCCATCAAGAACGGACACTGAATACCATGCGGAGGAGGCCGGCCTTAATACGAGGTGAGCACGGAGGGGATGACTGGGAGAACACAGCCACTCACGGATCTCGCCTGGAGGGAACTACTCTGATTGACGGGTGGGCCAAGATGTCGCCTATAACCTGGTGGGTGTTGGGCATGCATAGGCGAAATGGTATACACCGTTGGATGAGATGCGCATGCGATGTCCACCTGTGACTCGATAACGAGACTGGATGTGATGGTGAGGCAGCATGCATATCCACGTGTTGTAAACCAAGGGGTTCGGAACACGAGGATGCGAGATTTAGGGTGGGTCAGCAATTCTGGTGCATGGAACACCATTTGGTTTTCCTTGTACAATCCAAGTGACGCGGAATCCGATAACGGCGTACGCGGACGTCAGCACTTGGGTTGTTGGGCCACCAGCGCGCACTAAGTATGGGTTGTACACGATGTAGTCGTGTACTCTTAAAAGCGGAAGTAAAATTTGTAGGTTGTCGTAAACAATATTGCAATATGCATAACGGGTATATTACGTGCAAAAACAATACACAACGTCTTATGGAGCCAGCTGTGTACAATCCCACAACGTCAGTTATTGGCTATTTCTATTTCTGGTCGTACTAATGACCGCGCTGATAATTCCGGGTCAAAAACGGGGAGTGTTATTTACCGGACCACCGTTACACATTCTGCAATTATAATATGGTTGTGCATTATGGTTGGGTGTATAATGTTTACCGGTGACAATCGAACAGATGGTATGTGCACACTTTTCAAGGTTCTGTGCACATGAGTGTGCACCATGTTGATCCTCTGAGTTGTGTTAGAGCACACCTGTGGCCAGTCCGAGTTTCTATCGCCACGGTCTCTAGGGTTTCAAGGTTGCAGGATGACGGGGAACAGTTGCATGGTGTGCGAGACGGTGTTTAAGGACGACAGCCGGTTACAGTCACATGTCGCTAACGGTGCAATTTGTCGCGCAGAGTTGAAGAGGAAACGGGAGAGTCTTTTGTTGGCGGCATATTTGGAAGCAATTGCCCGTGACGGAGAGAGTAGACCAAACACACCGCCCGCATCGCGGCTTAAGGATAATGACGGCAGTGTTGTATCGGTTGCTCCGACCGCCTCTATTCCCGAAGTTAGCCTGGTTAGCGTCGCGGATACACCAGCTGACGGCGAGAATGCGGAGTCATCGGAACACAGCGAGAGGGCGGAGATTTTCGACACACTGACCGAGTTGTATCTATTCTTCCGTGACGCCGATCTTTCGCACCGGGAAGTTAACCGTCTGTTACACATTTTCCGCAACCCGCGCTTCAACTTACGGGCCCTCCGACGATGGCGCAACTGGGTGGACGTGCGCCGATGGGGAATGGCGCGCGCTCCAGCAGACATGGTCCCGTGGAAAACGGAGGAGATAGTGGTGCGGGGCCCCAAAGGAATGCAAATGAAGCTGCTACTGCACTACCGCGACACAGAGCTGGTTCGTAAACGGCGGCCACACCCGCATCCCCCGTCGTCGTCACTGGGAAGGAATCTTGCCGCTCACTCCTGATTATATCCCGATGCGCGCAGATTCTGAAGAAGCTGGTGCGGACGTTCTCATCCAAGAAAGGGTTCGTGTGGAAACCTAAGAAGATTCATCGGAAGAAGAATGGCGAGAGGGTATTCGAGGGGCCGGAGACGGGCGATTGGATGCACGCTGCTCAGGTAAGTGCATCGGTAGGCCAGTCCACATTACATGTGAGTCCCAGAATGCTATAAGACGGAGTCTAACATTTGTGCAAGGGCATGTATGGTTGGCATGGCAGAAGGAGATTAATGACAGTGAGGCACTCATACTAGGCGTGCTGATATACAGTGATAGCACCCAGGCATCACGGAATGGTCGGAGGAACGCGTGGCCGGTGCTGATCTCGCTTATCAACATACCAGCGGAATTACGTGGGGTGGAGCCTGGGCACACGTTGGCGGCGGTGCTGCCATTCCCACCCGAATGGGCATCGCCCACGGAGAAGACGCGGGTTTTCCAGGAGGCATTGAAGATCATCCTCGCGCCCATCATGCGAGAATCTGCAAGGTACTGAGGTGCATATGCTACACGAGCAGCAGGCCAGTGGGGACCCCAGCAGATATTGCCCCGTGTTATGACCGCGTATTGTGTGTACGTTCCTAACCTAACTCACGGCCACGTGTGCATAGTCACAATGTGCAGCGGGCCAGTTCGCTTCTTCTACTGCACGGACGCGGACGGGAAGGTGCACAAAGCGGTCCCTTGCCTGTACGGATACCCTGCCGACTTTCCGGAGTCCAGCAGAGCTTCTGCGACTCTTCAGCAGGGGACGCACCGGCCGTGCGCTAACTGCTATGCAGACAAGGGGGAGTTGACCATGATGGTGGGGAAGGCCGATCCGCGTACCCCCGAGATGCAGAGGGACATTGTCCGCCAGATCCTGGCGTGTAAGAAGAAGGGCGACGCTGACGCCGTGCGGAGGCTATGGTCAACACATCCGATCGAGGTGGGCTAAACCCTGAGGGCGTTTGCGTGCCTGTAGTGTACGGTGGAACCTAATGACGCGGTCGTGTCTTTGGTTGGACATTGCAGTGCGTACTTCACAGGTGGAATTTCGCGGACACAGAGTGGGGCAACGTGTATCTGGCATGCCTTGCAGACACACTGCATGTTCTGGACTCCGGTGTGCTGATCCACATGATGGACACCTACATCGAACCGCTTGGGAAGGTTGAGATGCGGACGCTTGAACGGTGAGCAGACTGTAGCCTGCATGTCATATCCTGGTGGGGTCATTTGGGTTGTAGTACACCATGTGTGCAGCGCTGATGGGCACGTCGAATACTTGGTGTGCGCAGACGCAAGAAGGAGTTTAAGGCCATCACGCCTAGCGTGCTCCTCCGAATCCCAGGGGGCTCATCGTTCTTCAGTTCCGGCGCAAACTACGCTGCGTTCGAGCACAGGAGCATGATGCAGATAATGCCGATCTTGGTGGCTGACGAGAGCGCGTTGAAGGGTGATGAACCGGGAGAGCTGCGCGCGTTGCAGGTCAAAGCGTTCAGGCTGTTTGCTGTGTTTTACAAGGCGTTTCTGGCTGTGGACCGGCACACACATACCACCATTGCGATTGCACGGCAGCATGCGATAGCGTAAGTGTGTGCATTAGGTGCATCGCTGGTCGGAATTGCGGTGGGTTTGTTGTGGCGGCCGTCGGGTGGCACACGAGTGTGCATTGACTGTTGCCTGCCATCGTGGACGATGTGGCAGGTTGGTGGCGTTGCTCCCGAGAGCATTTCCAAAGCAGGCATCCCACTGGAGACTACCAAAGATACACATGATAAGACATTTACTGGACAACGTGGTGGAGCGCGGGATGCCGCACCATTATTCCACTGAGATGTGGGAGCGCACGCACAAGGGCACGGTCAAGGGTCCAGTTAGAGGGAGCAACTGGAGCGACATTCCGCGCCGAATCGTGGAGGAGGAGGTGCAGAGAGAGGTGTACCGTGAGGTGGCTGCAGACGCCGGCGGTGGGCGGCAGTATGCGTCTGCATTGCGCGAGGTGCGTAGGGGAGTGGTTGGTGCTACGATGGCCATTCATTGTGTAATGTTGCACGGGTGCCCATGTACGAGCGGAGCCTGAGGCAGGTTGCGGCTTGTTGTGGGAACGTGGTTGTACACGTGCAGGCAATCAAGACGAGGAAACCGGTGCTTACAAAGAAGTATCGGATCATGCGCATAGGCGGGGCGTCGGATCCGGTGTACGATGAGTACACAGCCGCGCTTGGAGACGAGATGAAGGGGATGGCCGCGGAGTTTAAGGCGTTGGACCTGGCTACCAACAACGTGCAGGTGTGGTGATAATGCTGTCGCACATACATCTCGCACCTGGGGCTTGCACGTTGGTTGCCACTGCACTCATGATGCTAAGAGATGTTGGATTGTACACAACCGCGTGACAGGTCCACACCGCGGTGGCCATTCCGCGCACAAGAGGCGGCGAGCTGGTGGCCAAAGGGACGTTTGTGAAGGCATCTCCACGAGAGAGGTGGTACTCGAACGTGGCACTTCTGAACAACAAGAAGGGGGACTGGTATGCAAGATGTCTGTGCATCTTCAGGGCGCTTGACCGTGATGGGGAGTGGAAGGGATACGCATACGTGAGGTACTACGAGAGGGCGGGAAGCTGCAAGCTTACAGGGTGCACGCAGCTGCACAAGAAAGTGGAGAAGGTGAGGTATTCGGTGGTGGAGCTGGGCAGCCTGCAGAGAGTTGTGCACGTGTGCCCGTCGTACAGCAACAACAAGGTGCAATTAGTTAACAGGTTTTTGCTATGTGAGTGACGGCACGTGTTGGTATGGTGGAACTTAGGAATGATGGGTACAGGATTGCAGGGAGTGTAGTCAACTGTGGTGGGATGTTTATACTTTGGGTGGTTCAGGTTAGTGTTGACGCTGATGTGTCGCCACATATTGTGATGAATAAATGTGATATGGTGTCCGTGGGTGTACATTGGCATTTTGTGCATGGGTACGCGGTGGCAACCCTAAACCCGAAACGTATATGTTGGTGTTTAAACAGTGAGATTATAGTGGTAGCGGTCAGTAAACCCGGCCTATAACGGGTCTTGGTACGGTTGACGCTTGTGCGGTCGAAGTTGACGCGCTTCAATGTGTGGTGGTGTGACCGACCGAACACCCGCCGTTGGTTGGTCGGATACGGGTGACGCGTACGTGGCTTCGATTCGCGAGGTGGCCTATCTGAATGTCACAGGTGGCCGTTTCACATGTGTCCGTTATCTTGGAGCGGCGCAGGAGTTGTGCTCGCAAACTTGTGTGGCGCTTGTCAACCCTCGTACGTAGTGTGCGTACGAGGGCAAACCGGGGTACGTTCCAGTGAACTACAACGTATATAGCAAGACTGGGTGCCATCCCCCAACGCATACTTGCCCACCTGGGTGACACACAGCTTCAATGGGTGACCTGAAGGGACTGCTGGCTACTGCGCACCCGGACGATGTGTTCTGCTTCCACGAGATTAATTTTCTTCCGAGCCGCCTCCCGAAGACATACATTCCAGACAAGCGTAATGTTTGCGAGCGGATTGTCAGCATCGGCATTCTTTACAACGCGACGGGCAGTTGTTCCGCGGTGCCACTGGTGGTCCTATCGCCGTACGATAGGCCCGAGCGCAGGCGGGGGCGCGCGGCATCGCGCATGGTGGCAGTCCGATATACGCACCGCGGCCGGTTGACTCCGGAGGTAGGTGACAATTACACCTCGCTGTGCACCATGTCTGTGTCATGTTTGCAACGTACATGTGTGGGCCGACACACTGATGGTGTTGTGCTGTCGGTGTATGATGCTATGCTCGCAGGTGTTCACGGAGTTTGTGGAGACTGTCAACGGTGTGCACTTTAGTCGTGATCGCAACACACTCATCCTAACCATACACGAGGCGCATCGCATCACCGACGAGGTCGCGCGCCCCGTCTCGGAGCACGGCTTCAGTGTGCAGCACCTCACCAACACCCGTGTCGTCAACATACGTGGGTCGGTTCCCGAAGGGGGCCTTCCGCACCTGCAGGGAGTGGAGGACGCGCTGAAGGCCCATTACCGCGTTATGCTGATGAAGCGGGCGATCGCGGCGAAGCGGTTCCAGTTCGACTATGCCGCTTCTATCGCCGACGTGGACTACGGACTCATGCTGGAGTGGCTGGGGGAATCGTGGACCCGTGTGCGCGCTGCAACCATGCAGAGGAGCTGGTGGCGCGCCGGATGCGTGCCGCCGAGCTGGCCGCCGCTGATGGCGTACCTGAACGGCACCAGCGCGACGGGCATGTTTGAGCCGCTCATTGCGACTTGCGTCGAGCTGCAGTTGCTCATCGAGAAGTTTAAGATGAGGCCTGCGTGCTACATGACGGCGGCGGAGTTCGTCAACTGCGACGCGGGGCTCTGCGTGGAGCAGGGGTTCGTTGCCACACCTGCTGCAAGCGCGTCGGATGACTCGTCGGGCGAGATGAGCCTGCCAGACGGCCCGCTGCTGCGGGACGAGCGCAGCAGGCGGCGCGTCATTCGCAACGTCACAAACGCGTACGTGGAGCGTGCCGATGAGCTCGGCATTCCCCCGGCCCTCGTGCCAGCAGAGGTCGGCGCATCTAACCAGGAGGTGATTTCCCGCCTCGGCAGGACGCCAGTTAAGCGTGCGTGAGCGGGGCTGCGCACGGAGGACATGGCAGGCCCTTCGGAGCGCAAGGACGAGGACGACGAGTGATGCAGTTGGTTGAAGTTGTGCGGTGTGTGCGTTGTGCGTGGTGTGCGTAGTTGGCGTTGTGTGTGTGCGGTACCGTACGCCTGTGGATGACGGGGTTGGGGTTGTATTGCTGTTGTAATAGTGGTTGGAGGATTTTAATGAAAATTGATGAGTTGGGGAACCTTGTGAGACATTTGACGGTACGCGTGAACTTCGTTTACGGTCCGATGTTATAAGTTGACACAATGGACGCACCGCGGTCACCATAACGCGGGAATTTCATCGGGAAATTTGTGCACACGTTCGCGACTCGGGGTGTAGGTGTGCGCTCCGGGAATTCGATAGCTTTGCGACAAGGAAACTGTAATGTCAGTTTTTTGTGTCTGATGTACGCGCGCGTTTCCGGTGTTCAGAATGTTGCGATTTGCGTGCGTTGTTTTACCGCAGCTTTCCGCAACATTCACGCAAAGCAGAGGCAGAAAAACCTTCGGGGGCCAAAAAACGCAGTTTTCCTTTTTCGCGATGGAGAGGTGAGAGGCTTTCTCGGTCAATACTAGTACCTTGCCGCCGTTGGTGCCGGATCTGGCGCCGGCGCCTACTATGGCGTAATCGAGGCCAGTGAAGGGAAGCGACGCATTGCGGGGCGCGAGATCGGCGCGCGGCGAGGCGATCCCGAGGAAGTCGGCTGTTGGAAGAAAGAGTGGAGAGTAGGGAGATGGGACAAGTGAATAGAGTGGAGATTGAGGAGACCAAGTTGGTAAGTAGTAGTAAACTTTAGACGCCGTTCTGGGCGAGGGAGAAAGATTCAATCTTGAGCTTGAACGTTTCAATTGAGTTATCAGATTCGTACCGAGGTAGTCGACGACGAGCTTGCCGTCGGAGAATCAAGGCCGTTTTCGGCGAGGGAGAAAGCTACAAGGAGCACAGCTAGATGCTTGATGTGAACAAGTTGAAAGGAACTCCCGCTCAGATTCGTACCAAGGTAGTCGACGACGAGCTTGCCGTCGGAGAAGCGGCCTGACGCGGGCTTGAAGCTGAGGCCGTACGGCGCCTTGTTCGCCTTAACGGAAGCGCGCATGAAGTAATTCGCGTTGCCCACGTCCGCCGACTCGTCGCCGAACACGTACATCTGCGAGATCGTCGCGGCCGTCGCGCCGCGCGCGATGCACGCCAAGGCCGTGGCGAGCAGAAGCAGCGCGCAAGCAGATGCGAGCCTCGAAGCCATGTTGCGGCGCGTGGAGCGGGTAATTGGCCGAATTGTCGTGAAATTGAAAGTTTCAATTAGTTGAGAGGGCCACAGAGAGCAAGAGGAGGGATGTTGTGGAGCGGAGCAAGTGGCAGACTTTAGTCGAGGTGGCTCACCCGAGTAGAGCAGGTGGGAAAATTGGAGTGGAGCAGGTGGCGATTGGTGTGAGGAAGTGAAGTCGCAAGGCTTTTTCTAATGCGGATGACCCGCCTGCGTCGAGTCGCGATGGAGGCGTCGCGAGGATGAGTTGTGGACACATTACCTCGTGTAGGCCTCATGCGGAGCGAGCTACTATCTCTGTTCTGTTCATAAAATTGTGGAATCTCTGTTCAATTCTAAGCATCCAAAATGGTGGCTGCGAGCTTGCATACATGTTGTGACCGGAGGGGGAGTTCAAATTTATTCATACCGACACGAGATACCACCGGCAGCGAAAGATATTATTGAGCTCATGGAAACTCGTCTGAGCGTTACCCATTTTCGTCAGCCTCGTGAAGCGACTCGCGACGCCGTGCAAGTTGGGACGACACTCTCATCACCTGGGTTGGAGGAAATGACAGAGAGCCGTGTTTTCAAATTTCCAATTCCAATGGGCAGTGGTTTTGACAGCGCATTGCTCTGCGCTCGCGTCCAATACCTTGGGACATATTCTTTCTCAGTTTCCCCTTTTAAGTCCACAAATACAAGTTGTTTTTAGGTTACGGGGTATTGAAAATGTATTCGTCGAGTCCATGGCAAACGCTCAGCTCTGGACAAAAAAAAAATATAACCCTCATGGATGGTATGCCACGAAGAGAGCATCAACCCTAAACACCATGAGGCAAGGTGTTTAGGGTTGATGCCTCCCAAATGGCTTGTCATCCGAGTGGGTTTTAGTTTTTCCACTGGCCTCTATACTGAACCCAGGTACTTAATATTTGCCCTTCTGTACGTTTGGTAATGAAAAACGGGAAACAGCAATATAAACTGACCGCGGGAATTGGGCGCGAGCGCGGTGGGAGTCGCTGTCAAAGCCACTGCCGAAAGGAATCGAAAACGCGCAAACACGGCGGTCCGTCATTTCCTCCCTGGGTTGGGTGTGGTGTGGTGTGAGGGACGAGCCGCCGCGAATCGCGTTGAAATTGAATCACCCTGTGGCAGCCGAACATTGCCCAGGGGATGGGGGCAGGGGATGGGATGGAGCATCAGAACGCCGAGCCTCCTGGTTCGATCTGTTCGTACCAGGCAGAACACTTTGGTCAGACATGAAAATTGTGAAAAAAGTGTCGGACGTGAGCCTAAAACGTGACGCGAACCCCGCGCTAGGCTTGAACCCGCGCCGCGTCCTCCCCCCAATTCCCCCCCATGGCGGAAAAACTCCGCCCTAGTGTTCAGGGCTGGAAAGTGCACTCCCGTGGGTGGTCTCAGCCCACGGGGAATTAAAAATCCATGCCCCCTTCCACAATTTTCGTGTATACATTTACTCCATACTCTAAAAAACAAATAACCCGGACATTGAAAGTATCATTCTGTATACACAGATCCGAAATGAACTCGCCAAAACTAACTAAGGTCAAATCGTCCTTTACACCCTTGAATTAATTTATGGTGTACAGAATTCAAGTAGAGTAAGATGCCCAAACAAATCGCAACAGTAAATTCGGGAAAACTGTTCAGCTCGCGAAGTTTCGTTTCGCACGGCTGCAGTTTCGTGGGCCCCCGTTTCCCGAGTCGCTCCTCCGCGCCTTTTCCCCCAAACTTTCCGCTTCTGCCTGGACTCCAGACTTGGAGTCAACGACGGTTAACTCCGAGCTGACCACCCCGAACTAGAAACCCTAGCTGCAAATCTGATCCCTCCCCCCATCCCTCGGTCGATCCCCTGTGGCAGCCGAACATCGCCCACATGCGTCACATTTGCGATTCAACCTCATCCTCCATTTGTAACGCGGATAAAAGGGAGGGGACGCGAGGCAGATCGGGATCATGCAGTTATTGATAAACGAAAGAAACTGGTTGGCTATTGTAAGGAAAATCCCTTTTCCTTACTTCGCATCCCTGCTCAACGCGTACATCACTGTAGCACCTCAGTCAGCACCGTTACCACTCGCGATCATCGCATCGACAATCATCCTGCCATTTCTCACACATCGCATCCCGACCTCACGGCTCGGCTGGTAACCCGCGCTCCGGGCCTACGCCTCGACACTTTCCCAACCTCAGTCCCAGGCTCGTCGCGCGACTACGACAGACCATTACCGTTACCACTGTAGTTTCGCTATATATTCTTCGCTCACGCCCTCGCTCATTGTATTCTTGCTTCGATAGTGCAATTCTCGTTCGTTCACTCAATTGCACTCGTAACACTTGGTTATCAGAGCCTACGATCTCAGCTCGGACCGCATCCACACCTTCGCTTCCCCACTATCTCAATTTTTTGGGGGGGGGGGGTAGAAGTCTCTCAGCGATACAGCACCGCCGCTCGTAGTGCTCTCTCGCAAGCACGCACGGCCACGACCGAGGCTCTCGCTGAGCTTGCCCGACACCCCCGCCATGGCCGATTTCACGCTCGCCACATTAACGCAGGAGCAACTTGATCGTCTCGTGCGTCAACTGGAAGATTCAGCGCTCGAAATCGCGACGCTCACGGCGGAACGTGACTTCGCCCATCAACAGTCCACGGTGAACGTTCCGACGACATCACACACACCAACAAATGTATCGGCACATTCGGATGAACCGATCGTCATCTCGTCCGGCACACCAACACAACATGACAGCATGGGACAACGCTCAGGCACAACCAGTAATGGCGCCACCCAGCCGATGCCTGGCATGGGAGGAAACAGGATCGCACCAAGCCCGCGGGAGCCCCGAGAAGCCCGTCGGCACGTGGAATTTGCGGCGACAAGTGGCGAACAAGCCATCATGGCACCAATGCCGCTCAAGCCGCAACGCCCGCCCTGCTTCGACCCAAGCCAACGCGGCGGTCCGACGGTTCAATCGTGGGTCTTCACGATGAACGTCTTCTTCGACGCAAATTACGTCGAGTCAGACGCCGCGAAGATCCGGTATGCAGTTTCACTGCTGAGGGGCCCCGCCATGGACTGGTGGCGAGTCATCGTGACGTCGCCACGCGCCTACGAGCCACCGTCGCACAAGGAAGGGCCCACGGGTCCAGCTGTCACCTGGAGTTCGTTCTGTGAGACCGCCCAATACAGCACGTGGGATGCGTGGTGCGCAGGGCTTCGGGCGCGTTTTGAGCCGATCGCGGCTTCAATTTCGGCGCGTCAGAGATCGCGCACTTGGCGCCAGCTCGGGTCAGTTCAAGATTATACAAGCGGTTTTCTCGCACTTTGCGAGTAGGTCGGCTACATGCACGAAGCGGAGCGGGTGGACCGTTATGTCGGAGGGCTGAAGCCGGATATCTCGCACGAAATAATGCTGCGCGGACTCTCTAATTTTAACGAGATTCTCGCGCTCGCCGAGAAGATCGACATTCTACGCCGACCGAGACCGGGGTCCTATTACGGACATCGCCCTCGGGGACCGACCGAGCACGCCACTGTACACGCCGTTGCAACAAATGCAGCTACCGCATCGTTTAAAGGGCGCTGCTTTGCTTACAACAGGCCGGGCCATCGCAAGAGCGAATGCCCAGAGGAGCTGAGGCGCCGAGGAGCAGAGCAGGGGAGGGAGTCTCAGAGGCAGGGAAACGCCAGCAGTTAGTAGAAGA